TTATTAAAAAAAAAAAAATTAGACAATAAAATCCTAGGGTGGCTGACCTTTCTAAAAGCTGTGGCCATCACTTTCTTGCAGAAAGCAGAAGAATCCTCCCTGGCCCATGATGGCATATTGCCACAGTAAGTGATTACTCTTAGAACATAAAGGAAATCTATGACTGCAGGTCAGATGGCAAAGGATCAAGCAGTTCTATTTGACCATCTTAATATATTCCTCAAACTGATGGACAAGTTAAACTCAGTCATACTTCTCCTGGACCCAAAATAGAGGCCTCTAATACTCTAGTAGATTGGATTTACAGGATCAGTTATGGTAAAAGCTGACTGACGCCTGTCCATTGATGGCAGCTGTGTCTTTCAAGGTAGTAGAAAAATCAAGTATGCTGTGGCTACTATGGAAGAATGTACAATCAAAAGTGCTGCCACCAGGGACTTCTGTGCAGAAAGACGAACTTGTCGCACTGACCTGAGCACTTGAAACAGCAGCAGGGAAACGGGACAATATTTATGCTGACTCCAAGCACACTTCTTTATTATTATTAGACATGCTCGCAATTCTATTTTGAAAGAAAGGGAGCTGCTTGATTCTGACGGGGTTCTTGGACGACCAGAACCCGCACAAGCTCCTGAACAGGGGAAGTCATGCTCTGTTTGATCACAAGAATGGTGGTACTGAGTTGGTCAAAGGAAGCAATCTGGTAGACAAAAATAGCTAAGGAAGCTACTAAATCCCACAACATCATGCCATTCATTCCTGTGCTTGATTTGTTTGAAACAAGACCTCAATATTCTAGTTCTGACAAAGAAAAAAAAATGCTACTAGATGGGGATTACTGAACCCAAATCATACAACTGGAAAATGAATGAGAAAAGATGATTTTTCTTTCCAGTCCATTTAGCAGGATTAATTGTTAATCGGTTGCATGAGTCTATCCACTTTGGGAGAAACACCATAAATACTTACATTAAATCATGGATTATAGGCCCAGGGCTGTATGGTGTTATACTAAGGACAACAGCCCAATGTTAGAAAAATAATCCAAAGACAGACCCCCACACTTACACCGAAAGAAGGCTTAAAAAATAGTGGGGCCAGTTTGAGGATTGGCAAGCTGATTTGAGTCTAATGTTTTGATACCAAGAAGGCTGGTTTGCAATGACACATTTTGGAGATGGATTGAAGTGTTCCCCACTTGGACTTAGTAATAATCAAATCCTGACTGAGGGAAATTACTACTCATAGACTGCTCAACAACACACAAAATGATAATCAGCCCACTTTTGTTTCCAAGATATCACAAAGAATAAACAAACACTTAGGAATCAAGTGGAGATTCATATGCTGAAGAGACTTTTACATTTTGCCTCGTGGTATTTGCACACCCTTTGAGGATCTACAAAATTATAAGCCTATGGACTTTTCTGGCATCTACCATTTGGGACCTGTCATGACTAGGAGAGAAATAGAAATGCTCACCTTGAGATTAGAAAGAATTTCACCTACCAAAGAATGTGTTGTTTTCACAGGATAAGCTAAGATTATGTAGATCTAACAGAAAGAAGTAACATGGCCTATAATATTACCTCCCTGGTGTCTTATGCTATAGGCCATCTAAAGCTACCAACCAGGCAGTTCCCATTGTGTGGAAAGGCTGCTTACTCTTCTGTGATTGCAAACAGTATGGGGAAGTGGAGGAATGCAGTATAGGAAAAGTTATAGGATACATGCCCCAGAACATTCATCTGATTCACAGGGTAAGAGCAAAAGGGAAAAATTCCCTCCTTTCAACTGTAATGACAAAGTGCATCTGAGTAGCACTGCAGAATATGTCTGCATGATCGTCTTTGTAATGCCAATAATGGTAGGATTCTGTTTTTCAGTATATATTTTTATTGAATTTTTGTGCTTTTTGTACAATATAACCTAATAATATCTAGACTCCCTCCCCTATCTGCCACCCCTTTTCTGGCCCACTGAATTTCATAAACTCTGTCATATATGTTAAGGCCTGTTGAGTCAATTTGTGTCCCCAGATTTCCCTCGGTGTGAATTCATTTGCTGGACCCTGTTCACCCTTCATAGCATCATTTCCTTAAAGAAGATCGACTCTCCCTCACCCAGCAGTTATTAGATGCCAATAGTTCCTCAGCTAAGGTTTGGGCCTCCTGCCTGTTTCCCCAGTTCTATGCCGGGTTTTTGTCTGACTGTGTTTGCATGGGTCTTGTGCATGCTGTCACTATTGCTATAAGTTCATATGAGCAAGGCCCCAGAAACCTGGAAGACTGTTTCCTTATGGTCATGCACCACCCCAGGCTCTTGCAATCTTTATGCCCCCTGTTCCACAATGGTCTCTGAGCCCTGGGTGAGTGAGGTTTAATATAAGGGTCCAATCCAGGGACATAGATTCTTGCCGCATCTTATTCTCTACAGTTTGACCAATTGTGGCCTTATATGTTAATTGCCCTCTGTTTCACGAGGAAGTTTCGCTGGCAAGAGTTGGTAGGATTCTGAAATGCAGATTAGGAACACCTGGCTTGTACTATGTTCAAAGCCTTAAACACAACATCCCAGGCCACCAGGGCTATTGGACAGGAATTAAGTCAAATCTTAAAGAATCAAGCCATTCTAGAAAACCAGGCTGCAATAAACTACTTGTTACTGAGACAAAACCGTGAATGTAAATGGTCAAAAGGGATGTGTTGTTTTAACTTGACAGAGAATGCTTAATTGATCAAGAAAAAAGGTTAATATAATTAATGAAATTACCTCTAATATAAAGAAGCGGTAGGGCAGAGTCTTCAGGTCTAATCTGTCTTGTCTTACTTTCCGGCTCCCAAGCCTTAGAGGCCCCATGGAAGCATTATTAATCTTCCTGTTTTTTTTTTTTTTGTCTTTTTTAGCATAACTGCTTGCTGTTGTGTAAGGCCTACTCCTGAGTATGTGGCTCTATTCTCTTACAGATAAGAAACTGTGCTGGCAACTGACTGCATGCCTAGTGGCAGGATACCATCTTTCACATGAAAACAGATCTTATAAAGACAACACTTACAAAGGCTGAGGAATTTAGGGGAGGACAGAATGGTGCTTTGTAGTCACACTCAGATTAAGAGTCTGTACAGATATGCTAGTAGTGGTGTGCTTGTTCTAAATTATTCTGCATGCATACATTATTGATAGTTTATTTGTTCTGAGTTAACTCTCCAGCCCAGGTAGTACCCAGAGAAGGGCAAATAGTTGAGACCATATGAGTGACATTAACGAGACCCAATATTGCAGGAAGTGCCTGAGTCCAGAAATGAGGGAGCCACAGACATCACCTTCCCAGCCAACCACACAGCTGTGGGGACAAGTTTGAGCACCAATGGTTAGCTGTCTTTGCTTCATTCCCTATAAAACAACTGGTTTGAGATGAGGAGTGAAGGTGTTTTTTAGGTTGTTAACCAGCCACCTTCTCAGACTGCTGGCCCTCTGAATAAAGTACAGCTTAAAATTTTATTTCTGGGGCCTGGAGAGATGGCTCAGTGGGTAAGTGCACTGACTGCTTTTGCAGAAGACCCAGGTTCAATTCCCAACACCCACATGGCAGCTAACAACCATTCATAACTCTGGTTCCAAGGGAATTTGATGCTCTCTTCTGATCCCTGTGCGCATTGCATGACACGGGTGTACTTACACACACACAGGCAAAACATTCATACACACAAAATAAACTTTGTACTATCTAATAGCCATCCAGCATGATCCGCAAAGACATCATCAATGTCTCTGTGCCTGTATCCTCTTGTTAAAAGAGATGACTTGGGAGGAAGGGGAAGAAAGTGAGCGCCTCAGAGGTGAGGACAGAAAGGGCACCAAACTGTCTGCAGGGCTGTTCTGCAACCATAGTCTCCTGCCTCTCTGTAAGCAGGTTCAAGATTCTGAAACAAGTATTCTGGCAAATCAATAAATGTACCTTCCTCTCACCCCATATTTCTTAAAAATTTAAGATCAGGACTGTTCATGGACCTGGAAAAGTTCCTAAACTCTCCAGACCTTGACTCAGTCTCTGCTTCTCTTTAATATTTATGAATGATGACACCATGAGCCATCTGGTGGACATAGGATTGTTCTCTAAAGAAAAGCTTCCATGACAGAACCAACAGGCCCCTCAAGGAGTGAAAGTTTAAAAGGGGGAAGCTGTTGTATTAATGTTTCCTGGAGAGATATGACCAAATAAATGTGTATTTATCCCAAATAGGTTCAAACAACAAAGGAAAAAAAAAACTCCAGCCAAGTCCACCTTGATGAACCAATGAGTCTAACTGGAGTTACTTACAGAAGCGTGGGTGAGGGGCTACCTACAAGATCATGGGCAACCCATTAATAGCTATACCACCCAAGGACAGCCAACAAGTACTAACATATCCTTGAGGTGGGAAGAGACCGCTTACATCTTCTCTTGGGCCACTGTGTATACATCATGAGCCCTCCCTCACCTACACAGGGGAATGCTATGGGGCCCAATCTTGTGCCCCCAGCAAGTAATCATGGCTGCTTGTTTCAAGGAGGCAATGATCATGTCATGCCCAGAGGGCAATGCTCCATGACAGAAGCTGATAAAAGGGGAAATGTCCTTCCTGGAGTCCAAACTTTACAGAAACATCAAGAGGGAGAAGGGCCACATGCTGGAACAGGGGCAGGACTAGGGGCATTTCTGGATCAGGTGAAGGCTCCCTGTGGTCTCCTTCCTAAGCACAGGAGCACACACACACACACACACACACACACACACACACACGCTTGGAGTTGAGCAGTCAGACCCTAGGACGAGAAGCAATTGCTTCAATGCATTTGCACTGCATTCAACGTGGGCTAGAGTTTCCCATCCTGGGCTGTAGGCAGTGTTGTGGGAAACTGAGGCACAGGACCAGTCATACACAAAGAGGGACACCAAAAACTCACGTGGAGAAATCCGGAAAGTTTATTACAGACAGGCAGACTCCATGGATGTTTTCTCTGAAAACTCAAACCCCCAGTTTAGTTCCTTCACTGTTTTCTTAAGTCCCCTGGCATTATTCTTTAACTGTTACAGCATTGGTGGGTCTAAGTTACAGCCTACGTGACTATCAGCACAGGTGTTTACAATGCCCTAAGACCACCGAAGGAAATTCCACCTGCAGGCATGTTTGCAGAGGAAGATGTTTAAGGCAGGAATTAGGACATTCTTTTACAGAGTTTATTGCAGGTGCCTTAGCAAGCAAGGCAGTTGCAAACAGATGTTCCACCAGATGATGGTGGCATTTATCTCCCAATAGAGCTTTGATTCCTTTTTCAGCATGAATTTTAGTAAGCATTTATAAAACCATTATAAAGTAAGTACTATGTCCTAAAGTATAAAAATCAGCCATAAAACAATATTTAGACACACAAAAGTGACATTAAATGCAATGGGTGTATTTCTTTCCCCATTAGCAAAACCTGTTCTGAACGAGCTTGGGTTGTCCGGACATGGGGCCTCCCTTAGAACGCCCTCCTCCCCAATGACCATCAGCAGTCAGACCAGCAGTCACAGAGTAGCCCGCTCCAGGGCTAAGCGCCTCCCAACACGTCCCTCCACCCTCACCCCCGCCCCCTCCAAACCCAATTCTTACTCCTAGTGACTGGGGGGTGGAGGGAGGGCAGTTCAGAGCGGAACCACAAGTCCCAGCATGCCCTGCTCCCGCACTGGGCCAAGAGATCCTAGCATGGTCCAGCCACTGACTTCCTTCAGGATGAAAGCATTTGGGAAGTGTGCACTGGTCGCGCTGGAATCTTCCTCCTGGCCAGACCACATTTAACTTGCAAAGTAAGCGACCTCTAGCATCTTGGCCCTGGAGCCCCGGATCTTCCCACCGAAGTCCTCAGCGCCTCCTCTGACCTGGTCTCGGGGAGGAGAGGACTGGCTGGGAGAGCTGGACGTCCACCTCCCAGACCCTAAAGACCACCCGCCACACCGTGCAGCTGCAGGGCTCGTCCCTTCCGGGGCGGGTCTTCCAGCTTCCTGGGCTCCGGGAGCTGGACACGCTGCAGTCTGGCTGCACGGCCACACCCAGCGATGCAACCGGGTTCCTGAGCCCGGCTACAGCCAGGACTCCATCCCAAGCCCCACGTTCACCCCTTCTTCATCCTAACCTGGAGCTGATGTCAACGCCCTCCAGGATCAGCCCCTTGGTTTACCTCCAGTTCTCCGCCTTTAACCCCTTAGTGGTCATCGTCTTGGACACACCGTCTGTTGCGGGAGCTTGGTGGGTGCTTTGGCCACAGGCCAGGGCGACAGCAATGGCTAAGGGGCTGCATTGAACCCACTGACAGTGCACTCAGGGCCCTCCTACCTCTGCTGCAGAGGCGCAAGTTCCAGCTTTGGCAGCTAAGAGCTGTTACAATTAAAAATAAACAAACAGATCTGACCGGTTCCTCCCGCAGACTAAACTCCTGGAACCCCTCAGATTCATCAGCCCCACCCTCCACCCAGAGCGATTTCCCCAGGTTCCCCACCCCCACCCCCCACCAGATCCTGCGTCTCCAGACAGCACTCCCAAGCCTGGGATTGGACCACAAACACTGACCCTGTGGCCTGCTGGTCTTGTCTCCATGGCACAGGATGGATTATTTTCTTTCCAATGCTGGTTCCCAGGTGTTGCCTGTGGAGTTATTGTAAGCAGTCAAAATTCTGAAGTTCCTGGTCCCCCAAATTGCTGGCTTGAAGTTCCTAGTTTCTCAAACATCTGGCTTGACCAAATGTTTGGAGAGGATCCTGACAGCCTGGCACTAGCCCCAGGAGTGCTTGCTCGGTGGTGAGTGTTAGCAAACAGCTAATGGCTTCTGGAATTTTCATTACAATATAATAAATATTTTTCGCCCCTCATTATGTGCCTGGCACTGCTGTGGTGCCGAGAAGTTGTGTCCTTCAGATAGATCATTGAAGGAGTTACAATGAAGTTTCGTTATCATAATTCGATGATTCTTTACAGTCCCTTCTGATGGAACCTGGCTATAAGAGATTGCAGAGAAAGCAAATCTGTTCTCTCCAGCACTTTACAACCTCACTGAGTTTATCCACTTCTAAGACATTTCTCAGGTGACTAGAGATACCCTCAGAGAATATGGAGGGTGCTTCTGTGGGAGTTAAGGCTCTTTTCTGCAGGAGCAACAATGCCAAAGCCCATCCAGGCCCCTCCAAGAGACTCAAAGTTTGTGCTGGCTTGTACTAAGTAGTTATTTGGTGGTGCTGATTTGTGCACCTGCAGAGTTCCATGAGGGACTTTGGTAGGACCTTTGGGTATCATATGGCACAAGTTGACAGAGAAGAGAATTTTTTTTTTAACTTTAAAATTTTTTTTATTATTTTTATTTTATGTATATGTGTGTATTGCCTGCATATAGGTAAGAGCACCCATGTCATGCAATGCCCGCAGAGGTCAGAGGAGGCTGTTGGATCTCCTGGGACTGGAGTTATGGACAGTTGTTAGCTGCCATGTGGGTGCTGGGATTCAAACCTGGGTCTTCTGCAAGAACAACCAATGTTCTTAACTGCAGAGCCATCTCTCCAGCCCTGAGAATTATTTTATGTTAATGCTTTCCTGTGTCTTTTCATTGTTGACAGCAACAGAGTCTAGTTCCTTTCTTTTCATTCAGAACATCCTAACTGAGCACTTAACATGCACGTGCATAGTGCATGAACAGGTAACATGATAGAAAGAACATGGTATTAGAAGAAAGAGATGAGCCACCCAAGTGCAGCTGTTTAAAATAGATGGTTACTTAGTCCATAAGCTCAATTCCCTGTCTGTAAAATTGGGCTAATAAGCCTGGTGCATGAAAGTGACTTGATGGTTAAAAAGAGAGAGAATGCATGCATGTATCTGGTGCAGTGCTAGGCTTCTAGTGATGAATTAAAAATAGTCGATATTGTAATATGAAGCATGAGGAGATGGAGATGAAGACAGACTGGTGTGTGTGTGTGTGTGTGTAGGGTCTGGAGAAATGGCTCAGCAGTTAAGAACACTGACTGTTCTTGCAGAAGACCCAGGTTTGAATCCCAGCACCCACATGGCAGCTAACAACTGTCTGTAACTCCAATTCCAGGGGATCCAACAGCCTCTTCTGTCCTCTGCAATCATTGCACGACACAGGTACACTTACCTATATGCAGGCAATACACACATACACTCAATTAAAAATAATAAATAAAAATAATAAAATTTAAAAGAAGAAAAAAAAGAAAAATAGAAGACAGACTGGTATGATTGTAGCTTTGTGCAAGGGGAGGAGGTGGTACGAGGACAAACTCTTCTCTGTCTCCACGGCAGCATAGCAATAAATAAGAGGCTCACACACAGGCCCTGAGCTCTTGAATCCTAGGGTGAGACATGTGCTTCTAGAGTTTTTCCTGGTTATTTATGCCATAATTTTGATCCTAAGCCTTACACATAATCTGGGTGAGAGGTTTTAAATTGCTTTTCTGTTGCTGTAATAAAATACCAAAAATAACTTATAGAAGGAAGAGTTTTTTTCCTCAGCGTTCCAGGGGGTTAATGTCCACAGTGGGGGGAAGGCATGGCAGCAGGTTGCAGGAGCAGGAAGCTAGCTGACCACATCTCAACTTATATAGGAAGCAGAGAGAGCAAGCAGGAAGTGGGCTTGAGGCTATAAACCCTGGAAGTCTGCCTCCTATGACATACTGCCTCCAGCAAGACTGCACTTCCTAAAGATATCATAGCTTCCCCAAACAGTGCCACCAACTGGGGACCAAGTGTTCAAATACCTGAGCCTATGGGGGACATTTCTCTTTCAAACCACAACAGACAAGCAGAGATACATTATTCTCAATTCCTCTTCCTCCGGACCCCTTCCTTCCTCAGCTTCTATTCTCATCAAAGATGTCTAACTGGTATCACTCAAAATTCTTCCAATTTTTTTTCCATTTTCAAGAGGAAGAGATTACATTTTATCACCCACTCTACTGTAGGTGGCTCATGCTGGGGTGAGCTGCTTGTCACTGCAAAATGAGCCTTCCTGAGTGAGGCTTATCTCCCTAACTGGTGCCTGTCCTGTACACAAAAAGACCTCTTGCTTTTCATGGTTCACATGTTGACTTTCTTAGACTGCCAGTACATTTAACACTAGAAATTTGTTTGGATCGCTCAAAAGAATTTGAGGTGAATATGTGTACATGTATGCGTATGTGTATGTCATAGAACATTCTGTTCCAGTGACATAGGAATCTACAGCCAGAAGTTGGAGTTAAAACACTAGCAATATGATTTGTATGAAAATGTCATGCAAGAAAAATGTTGCAGACCCTTACAAAATTTCTGAGTAATTTTGGCATCTGTTGACTGAGTAAATACAAACTATGCTGACCAAAAAGCTATTACATCTATCTGTCTATCATCTATCTATCTATCTATCTATCTATCTATCTATCTATCTATCTATCTATCTATCTATCATCTATCTATCATCTATCTATCATCTATCTTCTATCATCTATCTATCTATCTATCTATCATCATCTATCTATCTATCATCTATCTCTATATATCATCTATCTATCATCATCTAGCTAGCTAGCTATCATCTATCTATCATCTATCTATCTATCTATCTATCATCTATCTGTCTATCATCTATCTATCTACCTATCTATCATCTATCTATCTAACATTATCATTTTCATCCTCCTCATCATCATCTATCATTTGTGCGATTATAGCTCCATTTTTATAAAGTGTTAAGAAAGCATATTTCTGGCACTGGGGGTGGAACTCGGTGGCAGAGTATATGTTTACTATTCATGAAGCCCTGGATTCAGACCCCTGCTACCCTCCCTCACCCCTCCACCACATACACATAGACTCCTTTTAAAAAAAATATGCATCTATGTGAGATCTGACACAGTGAAACCTATGTAGTATAAAGGTTAAGCACACAGACTGGAATGGATCCATTTGACTCAGACTCTACTCCAGGGTCTAGCTGGGTTTTCCTAAATTTAAATCTCAGCTTCATCATAAAAAATATTCATTTGCTTTTTCCAACATTTTTAGGGTTTCTTAGCCACCAAAAATGTATTGATTGCTAAAGAACTTTATTGGTCATAAAGAAAAAACAAAAA